TTGAAAATAGGAAAGGATAATGAAAATATTTAAGAAAGAGCGAAAGATCACAGGTGCAGTCAAAAATTAATTTCGTTTCAACTCTGGTACGTCGTCTATATGAGTATAGTCCTGAGAAACAAAACTGAAAGAAAGAAGAAACTGGATTAAAGTTGCTCCAGGGCTGTCACCTATTTATTCACGTAGAAAGCTCATCAACTCGATCGTATACTTGGCTGCGTCACTTATTGTATTATAATGTATTAATGGTTTGTTTTTTATTGAAACAGACAAAAGAAAATATTTTTTCATTTTTTCAACCAGTTAAGAATTGTTAAGTTATATTATATAATTTCATTGCACTTTCTCTTATTAATAGAATAAAGTAGGAAATTTTCAGTATTAGCAAAGAAAAATGTATAAATACAATATAAAAATAAGGATATTTGTCTGGGATCAGACCAAAAACCCTCCCTTTGTTAGTGGATGGAGGGGTTGCTGGCAAGTAGAAGGGGCAATGCAATTATTCAATATAACTTAACAATTCTTAACTGGTTGAAAAAATGAAAAAATATTTTAAATAAATAGTTAATGATCATAAGCATATGAATGAGGATGTGAATTAATAAATTGAGGAAATTCTTCAATTGTGTTACGTGCTGAGGAGAGTGTGTGACTCTCCTTGGTGTGAGGAGTGACTCCTTTCTTGCCGAGAAATGCCGCTGTAGTAGTATGCGTGAGAGCCGCCACTGTCGTATCGAAGCTTTCTAAAGGGACCGGTTTTCTGCTGCCTTAGTTGTCAGTATGATCCGTTAATATGTGTAGTATGATTTCGATCATTTCACTCTCATTATGTTAGCACTAGCGCTTTATTAGTTTAAGTTTGGTTAACGGATACGGATAATGTGGCGCCACTATTGAATTGTTAGATTGCTTATTGTTTGAGTATTATGTGATTGGGACTACGACTGCGACTGAGCGCTGCGCGTGAAGCGCAGCCCTTAAATATTCTCGTGGTAGTTTCAGACGCCGATAGCGATCCGGTGTATGTTGCTATGTCTATATTTGTCGTGACGTCAATAGGGCATAGCCTTGGAAGGTTTATTGGCATTATTTTTCGCAATTATAGTCGTATATTTCAGTTTTCGGCGTAGAAACATTTCTCGAGTTCGTTGGCTAGTGTTTATAAACAACTGTCCGAGAGCTCAATACTTCTCCTACTTGTGTATTTCGCTTTCAACTGTTTCAATCCATAACAATATTAAATCAAGAAAACATTGAAACTCCATTGATTTTAATACTACAAATAAAGAATTATGGTATTACTAATTACAGAAATTATTTATGAAATGTAAAAATTGCTTTTACGATTAAATTTAAATGGGGTGATACACTGCAGCTAATTTCATATGATTTTACATCGAATAATATATATTTATTAATGACATTTTTATTATAAAATTTTAAATTGTACAATTAAAATTTTATATTATTAAATTTAATAATATTTTTAAATAAAAATGTTCATTATAGGTATTAAATAAATTATTAAATTAATGGTCAATCATATAAAAATTATTTTTACTTAATATCTATACGTTAAAAAATTAGTTTCATAAATAAAACAGAGTATTAGAAACAAAATACAGTGCCAATATTAACAGGAAGAAATACATCGATATACTATAGCTATATCTTTAACTTTCTATCTCAATTTCGAAGAGCGTGAATAACGTGAAGGAGACATTCGAAGGCTTCATAGGCTGCTGAAGCAAAGGATCACGTATTTTCTCATAGAATGCAGAAACAGAATTGTACCATAGTGATTTTCGTACTTTAATAGTTAAAACTAACTCTTCAAAGTAAAACTCAGGCTCTTCTTACTTGTTTTTATCTCTTCATACGTATTTCTTTCCTTTTCTCTTTGTTTATTTCATTATGGGTGTAGTTACTCGGCTACGAAAGTAATAAATTCTAGTTATTAGAATACTAATTATGTCTTCCTAATATTCTGATTCGTATACACGAGATTTAAATCGCATTTAATTGCACTCTTATCTATCTGGTTAGAATATTATTTATTTATATATAATTCTTTAGTATAATAATTCTGTTTTAATAGATTAATTGAAATAATTAATATTTGTAAGTCATTGTATATGATAGAAAAAGAATTAGAAAAAGATAGAAAAAGAAAAGATTTTTGAGAATAACGAATTTGTTCAAGATTCAGAGAATCTCTCGAATGTTATCATTTAGGAAAAAATCCCAATGGCTATCATTTCAAAGAAAAACTTCAACTGTTATCATTTCAAGGAAATTATTCAACGGTCGTAATTTCTAAGAAAAATCTCCAACGGTTGTTGAAGATTCGGAAAAGGCGGAACATCCGAAATGAGTGCACAATCACCTTCATTGTTTCTCGCACCACAGTCGAACCCATTGTTCTACCGATATTATCAACCCTTTGTTTTTAGCTAAGAAAGCAACTGCGTAGATATTTAAGGCAAACGCGACATAAGATAAGCGTTACTCAGTCATGAGTTAGTCAACTAAGAATCATTCAGTCAAGCCGAGTCAAGGAAGCAGTCATACGCCTTTTCGATACTAATACAGTTATTGTATACATTCTCAATAAGGCCGCTAAGGAAGCTACACTCAACAGCTTCATACTATTGCAGGTCTCAATCATACTAGGTGCAGCTGCAGAAGGCCCTTCTTATACTAGGTGCAGCTGTCACACTGAGCAGAGATGCTATGTAAGGCCCTCCTCATTTACGCTCCTTCCACAATACAAAACAGCTTGGAGGAGATCAGCAATCGAATTACCACCACGTGGCATTACACGAAGAAGTGTCAAGAGACTTACGACCTCTCACTCTCAATGTAGTATTTCACCACCAAACGTACTGCATCAAGAGGATCTAGAGACTTACGACCTCCTACCTACATGCGGTGCATGCTTACACTACGTGGCAACAACTATGAAACGGCAAGATCTCATCGATCCTCATCGTCAATGTAGAATCATAATTATGTAGTTGTAAAATAAAAGAAACATCAAGTACGAAAAGCAGACGTGTTAAATGCTGAATTCAAGCGCTACCCTCTCAACTTGCCCACACTTTTTCTCCCACCATTCCAACCGCTGGTTTTAGTCTAATACTATCAAGATATCATTATTTATTATATTGGATGTTATATAGATTTTTTCTGATTCATTTGAATACCGTGCAGCGGAAAAGTTTTACTGTACAACAAGTAATTTTGTAATTCTTACCTTAGCGAAACACCTTAGCGAATTATACCAAAACGAACAAATGAAATATCAATATTTAATAAATGTAAATTTTAAAATATTCAGAAATTATTAACTAATCAATAAATTTATGTTATTGAATTATTATCTAACGTAATTATAATTTTTAGAATTCAATATGCATGAAATATAATCTAATAAAATTTGAAATATAATATAAAATAGAATTTTTATAGGCATCATCAAATAAACATTTTAATTAAAATGAATAGTATTTACACTATTAAATTCGATATATTTAAGTTCATAAATTAGGAAAATGTTACACAAATTCACGATAAGATGAATGTAATGATTATGTACTGATTTTCTTTTTCTTTTTGCACTAACATATAAAATTTTATTTATTAAAAATATTTTTAATTTATATTGCGTCAATCATGAATTTTCTTTCTAAACTACATATCTAAAAATGTATTGATAAAATACCCAATGTTTTATTATATTTAACGAATATTGTTAATTTATTACTAATAATTCTTCCTAGTAAAATCTAAGTCTCAAAAGAATTTTTTATTTTATTGTTTATAGAAATGCCGTTCTATTTACTAAATTTAATAATTAGAATATTATAAAGTGCTAAGATTAAAAAGTAACTCCAATTCAAGAAATTATTATTGAGAACATATTTTAATTACATATCTCGAAACAGTAGCATTGTTATTATTTATAGAATATATAAAACAGTCGATTATAAATTATAACAAATGATATAATATATTATACTTAAAGAGCGATAATAATTATAACATTAAACTACATTTATTTCGTACTATTAAATAATAATAGATTATAAATTTATTTTCACTATATGATTTTAATATAGAAATTTTGGTTTTTCAGGGTGATAGTTCTAATTAATATATATTATCCTAAGTTATTGTATAAGAATATAATAATTGAGTGAAGTACAGAAAAATAAAAGTAATAAATCAATGTTTAATGTTATCGTGAATTTGAAGAATAAAGGAAACAGAAAGGTACGATTGGTGATCCAGAGGGGGGGGGGTGAAAAAAATTGAAAGTTCGATGGATCGTCGATTCGGTCAGACCGAACTTTCATTAATATTTCCTATCTCCTTGTAAAATATTCTTTCTACGAGACTGTATTTTAATGTTTTACAATAGTCATGTATGTTAATTGAAAATTGTTGACCAAGGATTTTGCATGGTTTTTTAAACAAACGTTGTTTCATACAACGATTTATATACTTGCGTATTTTTATTTCTCTTTTTAAGTTCTTATTCTGGTATTTACTCGTCTCTTGTTTTATAACTGTGAAGACGACGATTGATTTTTAATAATAAAATATAATTTTTATTTTGCATTATTTCTTCTATTATATCTGACTATCTAATTTTTTGAATAATGGGCATAATCGATATACTTATTTCTTTATTGGAGATTATTAGAAATTGTTATTTAAAAATGTCGAAAATTTTTGACGATCTAATAATAATTAAAATATTGAATTACTGAAACAATATATATTAATACGAAATATACAATTACGAAAATAATAATTATTATTCTAATTATCAGTAATATCTATAGAATAGGTGGTCAATCAAACAAGTGACGTTCGAACACGAACAATGTAAATCATGAGATGTTCGGTATTAAGTAGCTCCAGTGACAGAGTACAGAGAGGATGCTATATAAATATTATTTCTGATATCATATTTATGTTCTCTTTTACAGGTATGTGGTAAAGTGTTCAACAACGCATCGGCGCTTACGAAGCACAAGCTGACGCACAGCGACGAGCGAAAGTATGTCTGCACGATGTGTGGCAAAGCGTTCAAGCGGCAGGACCACTTGTGAGTTGAACTGAAACATCTGTCTCCTTTCTGCAGCATGTATATCTATATCTTACTCACGCGTATCTTCTGCCTTTCTTCGACAATGCTATAGCTGCAGTGCCCGCACATATCATTTCCTAGCCTCAGTGCTCCTTCAACCGCACGCCCTGACATCTGCATGAATTTATCCAGATACAGGAGGCTCTGCCTTCGTTTAATAGATGTCTTTCCATTATACAAATCGCACACTGTTGTTGATATTGCAGTTGTGTGGCTAAATTTTATTAAGTATTGCTATTTGAATAGTATTTTCGTTTGTATATACAAACATTCTATCTCGCAGATTTTCAGAATTCCATTTTTAGAGTTTTTATAACAGATGCTTTTAATAAATAATATGCTGCTGTATGTTGCAACAGTATTTACATGCTTTATTAACATCTATAATTATTCATTTTTCGATCAGTCTAATATAATAAATCATTAGATTGGGAACACTTGTCTTGAAGTGCAATTAGGTTCATTCTTACCGAATATAGATCAACATATGTAATTTCAAATAATCTTTATTATATAATATATCTTTGATTTTAAATATAAAATTGAACTTGAACCTCAGTTGCTTATATATTTGTACGATTAAAATAGTAAAAATTCAAAAAATATATTCTTGGCTTAATGATTTTGATAAATATTATGAATAATATTCTTCATATAAATTAATATACAAACTATTATTATAAGCCATATTTATAGAATCATGTAATCATCATCATGTTTGAATAATAATATTTATTCAAAAGTTTAAAAAATTACATGATTGCTTAATTTCTGTATTCGGAATTCCAATCATCCGGAAGTCGTGAGACCAAAATGATTGGATTAGAGCATACCCACTATTTTACTGGTGGTAAAGTGGGAATGAGTGAGAGGCTAATGCTTCAATTCAGCATCAACACAATTGGTTTTCGTAACATTTATTTTGGATTTTATTTATTGATATGTAAATGCGATTCACCATTAGTAGTGAGAATTCTTGAGATCGTACCGCTCCTTCTTGATAGTTGCTTAGACAGAAAATATAAAGTCCGGTCCGGATGTGCACGGAAAGACTAATCTTGCTGGAGGCGCATAGCAAGTAACAGCGCCCCGTAGCAGTATGAAAGAAAAACTAATCCTGTTGGAGGCGCATGGTAGTAGCAGTGCCCCGTAGTATTATGACTTGCACAGATTCCTCTTGACTCACTCAATAAAACTGCACGCCTTCGACGCGTGTACATGCCTTCAATGTTCACAGAAATTCATGTCTTACCTAATTCTGTGATGAGTGCGTTGGTGGTACGCTTCTTCATTCATATTCACTCTTGTAATGCAATCAGCACTCTTGACTGCTTAAATATGGCGTACGTAAATGGTTATAAATGATTGTGGCTTCACTGTTGGCTTACTAGCTTATTGTTACTGTGTAGAGTAATAATTGATAACTGATTGATTAAGAAACTTACAGTGAGCCTACAAGTCTGTTGAATGCGCGCACGAACTGAAGGCTTACTCGTTCCGTGGCCGCTCTGTTGAGATACATCGACTATTCCATGGCGGTCCTGCTAAGGCAGGCCGTGCCATGGCGTCTTCACTGAGAGAATTTCACTACGAGAGTAAGCGTTTGTCGCGTGCATTAAATATCGTTAAATAATACATTAAATAATCGTGTCCTTTAAATATACGGACGGAAGATCATTTAGTTTGCAACAATGCATAGGTGTTGACATTCTGAAAGTCTTGCACGAGGTCAAAGTCCAAGCTTTAGAACGTTCAAGAATTGTAGGAAAACAAGGCTCTATAAATTGTGTAGAATTCAAGCGACGTTGTCATGCGGAAACTAGAAAACATTACAGAACGAATCCACAGAAGAAATCCAGAAATTTCGGAGTCAATGTTTACGATCTTGCGAGCTATAACAATTACAAATTTAGGAAAATTAAATTTCTTGTGAAGTGCTCCAATCCTGAAACTCTGAAAATATGAAAATAAGGGAATAAAACCTTCCTTTTCAGTACTACAATAATAATTGATTTGAAATGTAATTATTAGTTGTATATTACCGTTAATTTGCGGAAATATTAATATCTTTAATGTTGTAAAAATAAATTATATTTAAGTCGATATATAGATAATAAGATATATTCATAGGAAGAAATTTCCAACAAAATATTGGCATAGTGCAGTCATTTGATTATGCAGAACAATAAGCATTAAGAAAATAAAGAACTGAAAAAGAGAGAATGAAGGAAACATTTAACATATAAAATAAAGGCATTGAGAATCTGTCTTAGCTTTATATCGCGTGCTTTATAAATAGGTAAAAATAGAAAAATTGGATGAAGGAACATAATGAAGAAATTATGAGCAACTCGAAGATGAAAGATTCAATTCTTTACAAGAGTGAAAAAAAGAAAACAATCAAGAAGGAAAAACGGTTGGTAGGTTGTCCGAGAGTATTATGTAAAGGAAACCAAGAAATAATGTATAGCTAGATAGATCCGTAGAAACATAGAAATAAATAAATACATAATGATAGAAAGAGAAAAAGACAGAATCTGTTGACCGGTGGACTACAACTACTATTATACTACTACTTTCGTGTTTTATCTTTTCCTCTTTGCCAGTTGTCATTAATTATTCAGGTCCTATCACCAGTATATCCTAAAACTTATTTTCTATATTAACTGACTAGTTCGACTTTCTTTGTGTATTTTATTCAAAGAATTCGCACACGGCGAATCTTTAAATCTCGCTTGAGTTCTGCTTGTGATTCAAGGTAGTTTACGAGTTGGTTCGCAGTCGGTAAATGGGTTTTACGTATAGGAAAAGAAGAAATCTTTATAAAAAAAAGAAGAAATCTTGTATAAAAAAAGAAAAGAAGAGAACAGGATTGAATTTGAGAACAAATGAATTGACATTACAGACTGTGGCATCAGAATGGAAATTTTTTATAAAAAGTACATGGTCTCAATATTTTTTATCTAACGATGAACTGACTTATTTGATGCATTTGATTTGTTCCATGAAATAGTAATCAATAAATACAATACGATACATTCATCTGATAATTCAGGACATGAGGTTTTAATAATTGATAAATTATGCTTACATATTATAATTATAATATGCTATTATAAAATTATAAATAAATTAAATTTTATTTACTTAATGGTTAATTTATTTGTCTGCATTCTAAACTAAGCGACGATATTTTTTAAAGAGATAAAATATTTAAAATATAATAGCCTGAATATAACAGAGAACACGCTAATTATTTTTTAGATAGGTATGCTCCATGAAGTTAGACTCATTTAAATGTAAAAACTAAAATTATTTATTTTTATTATAATTGCAAAAAAGACATTGCAAGCTACTGAACTTGCTTTCTTCTCTTATACATAATTACTTTAAATTTATAAGTCTACAGTTAATTTATAAAAATTAATTTATTCGTGAGTTTTTATTCATTAATTAATAGGCAAGCCATTTGAGCGTGTATACTGTATTTTGTGAGCAGTAAAAGATGAGCGCACTTGTATTTTACATCTGAGGCAGTTAAGGCAATCATCCAGAACTCTACGCAGCACCATGGCGTTGCCTCGTTAACTTTTCTTTCTTTAATTGTTCGCAAGTTCTCGATCGGAATTTACAATTGCAACGACGTTTCTACTTCAAAATCAATTTACCGCACGGACACGCTAACGAGGAAGACTTTTCACTTCAATACGATTTGCATACGACGCTGTCTTCCATTTCAATTCTCAATACTTTTCTTTGGCGAATTACATAACTTTCCTTTTATCTCTCTTTACTTCATTTTTTCATCAGTTTCTTAGCATTTTCCACCTTTCTTATTCTTTTGCTCTTCTCAACTTTCTTGGTTTTATTTCTCTTTTTGTCTTTACTTGACTACTTTTTATTTGTATTCTTGAACAAAGGACTTTTCATTGTTTTCTTTTTTCTTATTTTTGCGTTATAGCATGGAATAGTTGTTGTCGCGACTCTAATGCGCAAAAAACTCTTATCTCTGTGTATCGTGCGATTTAAAAGTTCCTGAACGGGAGAACCGATTTTATCGTCTCGTTTCGAAGATTTAAAGCAAATGCTTAAATCCTCAAGACTCTAATTTTTCTTAATGACTATTTCCTAAGAAAATAAGTAAGAGATCTTGAGAAACAAAGATAAAATAAATGAGATAAAAGCATGGAAAGAGAAAAGACGAGACTTCTGAGTTTGTTTCTTCTTAATTTACTAAGAATATAATGAGTGACTTTCACACTTAAAGAGAATTTTTTATGTAAATAAAATTGTCTTTCATAATACAAAAGTTTAATATATTTAATTATTGATATGGAAATTTATTTGAATTATATAATGAAACTCTTTCGAAATTCAAAAAAAAAAGATTTTAAAATTATTTAAAATAATATATTAACATAATTATTTAATTATTATAAATTCGAAGTAGATTTATTCAAAGATTTACGTATTTATGTATAAACGTATATTGTAGTCATTAAACTAGAAATTATGCATAAAGAATTGAAATTACTTTGATTTTATAAACAATAAAATTAGTATGAAGTAACGTAATTAAAAGGACGTTTCATTTACAAAATTGTCATTCGCAAATTGTGCACCTGAATTCTATTCATCTAATACTTAACTTCCCTGTCTCTCTTTTTGATTCTTTAGAAGCAATCGAAAATCCAGCGACTTTGTTCTTTTTCTTTGACGGGTATATAATCTGAGTAAAAGTTTGGTAAATTAGCTTTTACAAATTATAGCCGTTCCACCATGACTAGGGGAAAACTTTGCTGATTTAAAAAGCTTTGACAGCATTTTGCTCTGCCGTTAAGCTTCTTCCAATGTCATGTGCGCCTTTACGTTTTTTCTTGGCAATCGTATCTTCTGAAATTTTCTACGCCAACGATTGGTTTCGTCCTCATAAAGCAAAAATCACATTCATGCAGACTTAAAAAAACTTGTCTGTTCTTGAATGTTATTTTCTGTTAACTCAATATATTCATTTTATAAAACTTTTATCAGCTCAATCAATGAAAATATGTAATAGCATATGGTAATTAGAGCTTTTTTTATAAATGATGGACTAATAAATTATGAAAAAGTGATAAATGAAAATATGACAAGAACAATATTTGTAATGAGTTAAAATTTAGGCCAGTATTATGAATAAATAATCAAATCTTTTTAGTTAGATTCAGGCTTATTACATTTTTACGTATACTTAGATGTATCATCAGAATAGTAGATCGATTGCATGGAAATATAGGATACTTAATATACAAAGTTTTCAATTGAAATTAATCAATAATTTAACTGTTTCCATTTTATATAATGCGAGTTTCTTACTCAATGCTTTAAGTAATATTTGAGTAATATCATTTATGTTCAGAACATCATAATATTGACATTAGTTACAGTTCAATTTTTTTAATCACCTACATTGAAATGTGTATTGTGTGCAAATAATAAAAGCAAAATGTAAGATTTCAACATAAAATTGTAATAATTACGTGGATAGGATGAAAGAGCGAATTATCACAGGCAACTCTTTTTAAACATATGACTTGATCTTAAGAATTATTTAATCTATCCCTAATATCAAATCAGATGGTCACATTTAGATTTTTTTAAAGACGATTTCATCCTTTACGAATGTGCCAATAAATATAAAGTAGATAAATGCTATTATAGTAAAATAATAACGCATGACATTCTTGCAGTATTTATGGTTTTTATCTTCTATACGAAAAGAGATCTTATAAAGAAGGAAGTTACGTATTTCTTTGGTTGCCATAAGGAAGACAATAATTTTTTAAAGTGGCTCGCTAGCGGAATGCTATTACGTTCGTCGTATATGTTAACTAGGATTTCATCAAGTCGGCCAAGCCATCGAGAATTTGGCTTACTGCTACTTGTTGCACGCTAATGAAACTGAATGTGGAGCGATTAATTATGAAGGAACCGAACCACCTTATTTATCATTACATATGGACTACAGATTAACAATTTTAAAAGAGCTCCGTTTTCATTAAATATTTAATTTTATATTGAAAAATTTTATATTAAAATATTTCAAATAAGTAGTCATTATTATATAACTGTAAATATAATGTAAATTATTGTATTATGTAAACAAAAGAACAAATTAAATAACATTCATTGATAGATTAGTATTTCGTTCCTTTAATTTACAGAAGATATTTTAAAAAAAATATTTTTTAATTCAGAATAATAAGTAATAATAGGTTACTTATATTATTCTTATACAATATATAATAGATATACAATTTCAAACTTTAAAAAATAAAGATGAATTTATGTGTATTAATGAATATAAAAATTTACACACATGAATTCATAATCAATGCTATAAATTTGATTTATTTTAATAAAAAATCTTTGTTTATCAAATAGAAAACAAAATTAGATTTACTAAAATCTAATCATAAATAATGATTACAAATTTCTCATCAAATTCTTTAATTTTAAAGCTATTTTGAATATATTTTATATTTTCTGCGTAATAATTTAATCAAAGGTCATAATAAAATTCATAATATTAACTTTAGAATTTATTAAAATTATCTATATATATCAATATAGGGTTTGTAGAAAATTAAAACTAAAAATATTTAAAATGGAAAATAGAAAACATATGAATACAAAAAGTATGCCAATTTTTACTCTTCGAGATTATTCTTTATCTCCACCTTTTATTCGATTCTATATAAAATAATGTCTAGTGATGTCTATGAATATTATGTTTGTTTCATGCTATTATCGTTCATAATTATTTTAATTATTCATGTTATAAATCACTCCAGACGATCAAAGTTACTATTCACCTGACGTAGGCATGATGTGGAACCGTTCCATAAATTTATTTCTCGATAATTTCAACTACACTAGTCATTATACATAATTTCTTTTGCAAGCGCATAAATCCACTATACATTTTCTGTCGGCTAAAAAAGCCCGTTAAAAATGGATGTTTTGTCGCATATTCAGAAAACTTAAAAAAAATTGACCGATAGCTTATTAGTATAATATAAAGATTTATTATTCATTATAATTTATCTTATTATATTAATGTAAATAAATAGAAATTCTACGAGACAATATACCTATAATTATTTTTAAATAAAAATCATAAATCATTCTGTAAACAATTTTTTACCCACCCCTTTAAGCCTATATTTTTTTCTGATGATAAATTTAGACATTTAGCAGACTACATTCGCGATATGTATTACTTTTATTTAAGAAAATAAGTTATCTTAATAATATTAATATTATGGTTTGGCCGTTTTACACAATTTTAATTTGAATTCTGTTGTACTTATTTTTCTGGTAGCTAAGGAAACTTGTACTATATACGTATGTACGCTGCATGTTAACAAATGATCTAATATCTTAACGCTAATGATTACAAATCCATCGTCATAATATAAATAATTATCCTACAATATTAGAAAAACACTAATGCGCTTGTTTGTTTGGAAAAAACGCAGGAATGGTCATATGCTGACACACCGCAACAAGAAACCGTACGAATGCAAGGCCGAGGGCTGCGGCAAATCCTATTGCGATGCGCGCAGCCTCCGTCGACACACGGAGAATCATCATGCGGGAAGTAAAGTAAACGAAAGTACGAGCCCAAGTAGCCCGGTTACAGGGCCCAATACCCCTAACACACCTGGGAGTAACCCCAGCACGCCAAGTACACCTGGAACCGTCCCGACCTCGGCCGCACAGAATGGACATGGTCACACAGCCCTTAAGCAGTTGCTTGCATCTGAACCCGCGTCCACACAACTCAAGGTACGTCGTGTTTGTCATCCTTTATTTACTTCACTATCTTTGGCATTCTTGCTAATTTTACAAGCAAATAATATTGATTACCATTCTTACTATTATTGTGGTTATATATAATATATATGGTTATATATAATGCACTTACTACTATTATAATAGGATGTAATGGACAAGCTTTGAACGTCCGATAGTAGTATTTCTTTAGAAATTATGAACAATTTTTATATCAATTCTCATTTTGTCAGTAGTCGTTTTAGTGTTTAATATTTAATTTACGTATTAAATAATTTTTGAATCATACATTATCTATCATTAGCGATTTAAGTATTTTAATTTATTTATTTATCATTCAATTATTATTTATTTAAACTGATGTATACAATTTATAATATTCATCTAATTAAAGTGTAATAAATAGATAAACAATAAAGTAAATCTTTCTAACTTTCAATTACTAAAATTTAGAGCTGTTAACACCAAAACTTAAAATAAAACTAAAAGATACAAAGAACAAAAACAAGCTATAAAATCTCATATATCCATAAAATAAGAAGCATAAGCATATACTAAAGGTTTTCAATACTTCAAAGTCTTATTTGATTTTAGACATAAACAAACAATAAAAAAATATTTGGATGACATCACAAAATTATAACTACGTAAATATGTAAGAATTTTACCTATAATACATTCATTACAATTTCGAAAGATCGTTACTTTCATTTCTAATTTAGTCCGATAAATAAACGAGAGAAGACACCATATAAGACTCAGAGTGAAATGAGATAAAATAGAGCGGAAAGAGTGAGCAATAAAGAG